GAACGCGAGCGGGATTGCCAGCATCAATTAGCACGATTGACCGCGGAGGCCATCACCGCACGTCATCTTTGCGAAACTCGCCAGGACGAACTTCGCGCGGTTACGGATACTTTGACGGTAATACCGATAATCGAATTTTGATAGCATATCGGAAATTAGAATACTAGATTGACGTGCAAATAAATGTGTCATATTAATGAGCAACCCAAATTGATATTTTACCTCTACATTTGACCTCATCTTTAAAATATTTACATTCTAAGAAATTGTAATAAGTTTAATTTACAGATGGGAATTTAACTCTTATTTTATGTACATTTGAAATAAGTAGCAAACAAACGATTTTTCGATTTGAGATTTAATGAAAAAGTTTCCGACTATTTTGAATAAAATTTTGTATTTATTTTTAACTGTTTGTTTCTTAATCTTAAATTCTTAAAATGTTCTTAATTTCTTAAATTATTTAAATATTATTATATTTATATAACTGTTTTTAATATTATTATATCTAAAGTCTTTATTCTTACTTACAGTCTTAGATATTTATTAAATTATATTTATATAACAGATATTTATTTTGTAATATTTTAAGTGGATCATTCTATACTTATAAATTACGCATTCTCAATTATTAAAAAAAATCTACTATAGATTACTTGTAGATAATTTATACTGTACGAGATACGATAATCTGTATGAGAATTTGTGTTTAAGATTTTGATAATGTTAAAAAAATAATAAAATAATATGTAGTAAATTCTGCCAAAAATTCTCGTTTGAACTTAAAAAAAAAAGTGATTTGTAATATTTATTTTAAATGTAAAATTTCAACTCAATTTCTATATAAATTATAAATATATTTAACTTTTAGAATCTATAAAACATTTTAAAAGGATTAAAAATAGGAATAATAATTTTAACTAGAAAATTTTCATATTAAAGAAATTAAATATCTCTATATAACTTTCAGCCTCGATGTAGCTTATCATTTTGTTTACATGCGTAACACACGATATGGGAATTTGATTTTTTATAATTTATTCCATATGTTAAAAAATATTTTTGTAAAACATTTTATGATTACTACAAGTTAGCAATTATATTTAGCGCGGAATACTTGAAAATTACCGCAATATGATATTTATTATTGCGATATAGTTGACAATGGAGTTGATATATATATATAAATAATTCACGTTTTTAAGAGAATTATTTTAATTAATATAGGAATAGCTAAATTTGTTTTGCATCATAAGCATCTTTCGTTTCTAGGAAAAAGAATTGGAATTAAAAGTGATGCAGAAAGAAATACTATATCTGAACAATTTAATTGCGAAGCTACATCGATGTCAGAAGTGAGTTAAACTCAATTACATTCATTTGCAAAAACCTCATCTTTCTCTATCGCCCGTTCAGAGACTTTATTGCCGATAGACCTACGTTATATTAACGCTCATTATGCGCTTTCAACGTTTGCAATAAAAATTGTAAAATATCTTTGATGAGTTTCCGGTTGGTGTCATAATATATGAAAAGTGCAAACGTAACAATCGCGCTTGTAAAATATTTATGGCAAAAAAAATCGAAATGCAATGAGACGCTCGCAAACATGGCAAATACATCGAGGTTAGAAACGAGGACTTACCTTGATTAATTCGTTGAAACAATCTATTGATCGTGGACTTCATATTCTCCTTATGTTTCCAACATGCCTTCGCAATACTCCGATAATAGGAACAATGCGAAACACTCGTTTATGAATCGATTATCTCCGCAATCCGATTACGGAAAATGCGATTCCACTTTGAACGCTGCGAGAGATAGCTATGAAGTTGCCGCGGTATTGCAGTGTGGTGAATGCGGAGGTCACGTGACCTCCTTCCTTCGCGCGTTTTTGTGACAAAATTTAAGAAAAGCGCGATAAACGTTTATCTCTCAAATGATACTTCAATCGAGAGAATAGCGAAACCTTGCATCTTTTATGTCTATTTTATAAAATAACTTTGTAGCTTACAAAGATAAAGTAATTTGTCGCATTCGATGCAATGGTCACGTGACCTTCTTTCGCGCAAAAATTGCGGCATTTAAAAATTAGCCGCAAAAAGAAAATAATGGCGCAATAAATGTTTGTTTTTGAGAATATTTCGATCGAAAGCGTCAATGAATCTTACATCCTCTAGATTTTACAAAAATGCTTCACATATGATATTATAAGAAAAGATTAACTATGATAATTTAAAAATTAAAATGAATAGAATTATTGAGTACAATTAAGGAGCTTGATTTCTATTTAATACCTAACTCGAAGGAGATTTAAGTTTTAAGTTTTAAGTTTTAAATTTTAAGTTTTAAGATTTAAGTTTTAAGAATTAATTAAAAGTTTCGTCTTTTGGAAAGTTTATTTCTTTTCTTGCTGTAATTTGCAACCGTTGCGATTCTGTATAATGCATCGCGCGACTTCGGTGAGCTCATTTCTATTTCAGAGACCTCGAAGAAAACGCGGGCAAGGGTGCAAGTTTCAACATTAGCGAAAAGGATCAAAGATGCATTGAGGAAATTGCGCGGCGCGTACGAAATTCCAAGAGCAAATCGAAGACGAAGTCCAAGTGCACTTCGGATAAATACTCGCGTTCGAATTCGAGTAGCCCCCGTGAGAGTAAGAACGACAAGGATCAGGCAGGTTCCTCGGAGGATCGTCGCAATTAAATTTGTGATTTCGTAAATAAGCGTATTACCGTCTATTACATAGACTTATTGCGTGGGCTTTCATGATTTAGCGTTGCTATGTATTCTCGCAAGGCTAGTTAAAACTGACTCAGGCAAGCACGTCCGTTTAAGTTCTTTATCTAATGTCAGTACCATGGATTTTGTACAATTTTTCTTAAAATAAAAGCAACAGAATTCTCGGCCTTAATATGATCTTAATATTTCATTGTTTCATTTACACAGCTTACTACTTTAAAATAATTTGTTCTATTGTTAAAAAATACTTGCAAAGCGTCCTTTAAAATTTTTGTTTTGTTTGATTTTAATCAGAATAATCTTTTAATCTACTTTAATACTTTAAACAGTCAGATCAATTTCTCTTGATTCTATTTAATCTACTTAGCTTCTATTTAGAATCACAAATTTTATTAAAAACAGCTAAAAATTTTTTTCAAATCTCTAAAGAAAATATTATTTGTTTATTTATTTCAAATGTAAAGATGTAGGAGCTCAATTCCTACATAAATTAAACCTGAATTAGTTTTTTAGAATTTACAAAATAATGGAATTGAAAATAGAAGTAAAATTTCGATTCGCTATTTCAAAAAGACTATTAAAATTTAGAGAAACACTATATATTTAAATAAATCTTTTGTTATTTTGACATTTCTGTTTCTACAACGATTCTCTTTACGCTGGACAGAATCGAAACTGGAATTGAAGATTGAAACTCGATGAAAACTTATAAGTGCTTTAACAAGCTATACCGCGTGTACCGGACAGCGATGAATAAATCGCGATGAATAAACCGACGTTTTGCATGACCGAGCCGAGATATTTGAATCGAAAATGCGGTAATGATCAATCGCGATCATTTTAATATATCATCAGAAACTTTGTGACAAATTGATTCTCTTTCGATATATGGACGTTCTTCCTTGCTATTTACAATTATCTCGTATTATCGTATTACTATTTTTACATCTCTTTTATTGAAGTAAAAAAATATATAGAAAAGAAAGACGTAAAATTGAAAAAAGCAAAAAAATATAATTTTTTTCTTTTAGACATTACTCAGAAGTAACTCACTTTCTAATCGGTTTTATTTCCGAATTGCGAATAGTGGCGCTATCTGTGACGTGGGAAGTGAACAAAGATCTAAATGTTGATGTTTGTCGATCGAGGCATTTGAAACGAAATTAGAAAGAGAAGTGTTTTTTTTTTTTATTTCGAAGTGTTTCGAAAGTCTTATCTGCTGTCTTATTTTGTGATTTTTGTTTAAGGGCAATTTGTCGTATTTTTGCGATTATTCCTCTTTCGTAAATAGAGATTTCGTGCATTTTGTCCACAGTTAGTGGAAATTCGTTCGCTTTATTGGCCTTGGCATTCGCAAGCGTCCGAGTGATGTGCTCAAAATTAAACTCGCGGAATTTAATCGAAATTGTGTGGCTCGCAGGGTCGTCGGCAACCTCGGTGACATTGACAAGGATAAATAAACGACACCACGCCTTTTATCATCGCATCTGAAATCGCAGGCGGTTGCCTGTAAATAAGTCTTGGCGAAGCCATATATAAAACGCGATTATTAAAAATCCGATTATTTAATGACCGAGGTATTAATTTTCACCTTAATCAACAAATCAACAAATCTATTTAAAAGTTCTTGCAAAGAGCTACCTGGCAATATTACACGTCTAACGAATTGCTTAATTTTTTTTATAAATTATAGAATAGAACATTTATCTTCGATTATCATCGTGATGCTGTTAAAATCCTCGAATCGAGTTCAGTCTATCGAACTGGATCAATGATACCAGTGAAAGTCCCACGAAATTTGTTAGGAATATAAAATCAATATTCAAGTATAATTTTTTACTATCAGAAAACAGAGTCATCATGTAAACATAGAAAGTGATCACGTGAGTGAAACCCAATGATTAGAGTCACGGATCTAAGTAATCTATACATAAATACAAAACATTTCTGAGATCATCCCGAATGTGCTTAAAAACACTCCTCAGGGCATCTTGGACATATTCTGGATTTTGGAATCCGCTTTACATAAAAAAAACCCCATCTTTAATCTTTTTCGACCAAACGTAGGGGGGAGTCCTGTCTGTTTTGGCGTGATAACCTTTTGACAATTGTATTTACAAAATACAAAGTAACAAACAAGACGGAGCAGGCGAGCAGGATGGAGTGAGAGTCGGTGTTCCCGTCATCTGTCTCTAGATAGCGGCTGGACGAAGTTTGTGTGGAAGAAGTGGAGGAAGAACGCCGGCATAAAGACGCCGGGCGCGTCTGATCGTGTCGCCAGTCGCGGCTTGAAAATCGCGGGTGACCTGCGCCTCGGTAAAATCAATGAGCGCGTCCGGCAACGGGATCGACGACGGCAGCGCGACGCCGCAACCGTGCGACATCGGCAACGACCGCGTCGTGGGTGCCGCCGCTTGGCCCGGCCTGCTCCGTAAAATCCTCGGCACCGTCCATCGCGGTACGGGAGAGCCGTTCTTACGTCGGCGCGACGCGGATCATGTAAGCGCACGTGGCGGCGCGATGCCGTCGAGCCGCGAAGACATGGATCTCTGCACCGACAAGGTCCTCTCCAAGGGCAGGATCTTGCAGGAACTGACGAAGGCTGTCAAATTGGTGAGCGAGCGATCGCCAAGAGGCCCTACCCTCTTTCCGCAATGTTTACCACACGTTATATTCCCCCCGTAGGTTTTGCGCGTAGTATCTCCTTTCCCTCGGTCTCTAGAAAGCATGGGTATCTCTCGCATCTAAGGATGATTCTGAAACCGACGTAGTTTACGAATCCCAAGTTGCGCTGCGTATCGGACACACTTACGTACACTTTCGAAAAGAATTGTACAGAGAATGGGAGATTGTTGCAATCTCGGCGAGACTAAACTCTCGAATGCTTTATCAATTAACGAGAAGCATGTCTTAGCTGTCAGTTGTCAATTGCGGTCTCGTGGTCGTGGGGTAATAACTAATAGGGAACGTTTTTGGATGACTACGACGTTCATAGGTTCAAGTCCGAACTCACCGATGTAGCACCGGCTCTCGTTTTTGGCCAATCGTGCCAATTGTCGCGTTTCCGTTGTCGCTAAGATAAACGTAGAGATTATTTTACCTCGAAACTTTTTGTCGATAATTGTGTATCAGTTGCTGCTCTCCGAACCTCTGAACCTGCAAATCGGGATTTCAAAATCGCGAGCGGTGTAAAGGTGACCTGCAATCTCAGTCTTGTGCAATGTCATTTACTTGACTTATACTTATATTGCCGTTATATTCCCGTAACATGATTTTTTTATTTGATACGTTTCAAAACTCATTAAATCTAAACAATATTCCAATATTCGATTAAAAATTTACTAGAAACAGCGAATGAGTTTTTATGAGTTAGGAAATGAATGCGACGAAACAAGACGAAAGAGAATCTGTCAACGAAAAAAAAGTCTGGAGTCCAAATAAAATTTAATAAAATAACGTGAAAGGTTAAGGTTAATAAAATAGGCGCAAACTGAAACGAATACGGAGTTTAATTCGTGTCTAATTCGCGCCCGTTTCGCACGGGGAGAATCGGAGGAAATATGCATATATATATATATATATATATATATATATATGCGTGACGTTGTGACGTCGTGCGACCTGCTCGCGGCTTAATCGCGACGCAACGCGGCTCCAAATCGAACGCTCGCACACATACGCACATAATAGAGACGGGCGCTCGATCGGAACGTGTGCGCGCTCCGCGGCCTCTCGATGTCGCATCGTCCTCTGTACCTTTAAACAACGCGAAATTTCACGCTGAGGAAGAAGCGCACGGCGAGCCTCGCATGTAAACGACGAGATCCGCGAACGCTGTCGCGGAGTGAGTCACTTTACCTGAGGCTGACTAGCCGCGCTGACATTTCATTGACAGCCGCGCGGATGTGCGTTGTACGGAACAGCTGATAAAAGCTTCTGTCCTTTCTATACCTCGGCTTTCTTTTGTCCTGTCTCCTTTTCACTCCGCGATTATTGATCGCGCGCTTATCTTATTCTTCTCGCGTTGTCAGCGCGGAAAGTCTCTCACTGAAAATGGACAGATCTAAAATTGATCTTCGCGGTTTTGGGTCACTTCTAAGATCTCACTCGTAAAAGTGAGACGGATGGCGTTGGCTAAAAGTGAACGTGCTTGCTTGAAAGTAAAAGCATGACGTAAAAACATATCCCACATTTCGTGTAAATAAATAACCTTTCGCTCTTATTATGAATAGTCTACTTTATATTTAGAAAAAGGGATCCTCTGTGCGCTCTTATGTTTTACATGTATGTATTAAAAATATTCAGATTTTAAAATTTATCAATACGTTATATATTTTTATATTTTTTTGTACTTTTGTGTAATGTATTTTTATTTTGTGCTGGACTTTAATTACGTATCGATGAAAATAATACATGTATGTTTTGATGTAGGTCTATGCCCAAAGTCTCTATGGTACTGTGGTTTTGGATGGTGATTCCTGGTTGGTTTATTGGCTGGATCGTGCATTGCGTCATGGGTTACGTATAGAAAGACATGGATATTGGGGCACTGCTAGAGAACTTAGCCATCAGGACACAGTAGTGGTCATTCATGCACTGCAAAGTGTATTAACTTCCATCGGAAAAGGTACACTTCGATGCATAGAAAGAACATGTTCAGTCTGACACCTGTATCTGTTGTCATCTCATCCTCATTTGATCGATATCATTTTAACAGATATAACGATCATAATTTTATCTTATCACAAAATTGTTAAAGAGTAAAAGTAAAGGCAGTAATTCATGTCTCATTATAATTAAATCTCATGTTACTTCATTTTGTAATTAAATATATTGTAATGCTTTAATTTCAAGATTATTGAAAAATTTTTATATTGAATTTTGAAATTTCAAGCATGTTTATTTGAATGTGCACCTAAAACTACATCTAAACATTTATATATTTCAATATTTTTCTCATTAATTTTCTCGGATTATTGTTCGTGTTGTACAGGTCGAGCATGGCTCTATCACACCCTGAGCGAAGGCAGTTTTGAGAGTTATCTGGCCTGTTTACTGCGCGACACGAAGACGTTAAAGAAACAGTACTTTCCACATGCACTCGTTAGAGATGCTGATAAGACCAATCAATTGGTTAATCTTCTTGCCGGTCTGGAAAACGTGTCCTTCACATTGCAATTGGTATGTTAAATCAACGTGATAAATAACAACTTATAAATAGTTTACGAAATGTTTAGCAAGCAGTAGCACTTTTATGCAGAACCGAATCAACTTTCTCTCTCTTTCTCTGTTTAACATTCAGCATGCATAATTTTTATTCTATATATCCCTATGCAGATATCAATATCACCCCCTGGTTACACTTATCACGCTAATGAATAACATCAATCATAACAAGAGCCACACATGCATATGCTATTTGATAGATTGTTTTATAAAGTTGTAAAGAGCAGGGGGTTATCATTTTATTTGCGAATACACACTTTATTTCATACGGATTATATATCGCTTGATTTGCTTATTCATGGAAAATTTCTGGAAACATTTTGAAAAAAAAAGATATTTACACAGAATTATCTGAAGTTGCTAGATTGATAGTTGCAGTTGATAACTTTATGACATATCAATTAATAAAACTAATGCCATTTTAAAAACTAATGTCTAGGATGTTACATATTTGGATATTTGCAACTACATGCCACAGAGGCCTATGAGTGTAAATCCGTCGGGAACAATCTTACATTTAAGGTCTTCTAGCGTTTCATCGAGCCTAGCTTCTCCGGGAGACAGTGGCGTTGCGTTCGATAGCGACATGGATATTGCAAATGAGACTGATGGAAGCAGCTATAAAGAGGTAAGATATATATTGGATTTAAAAAGTCTCCATATCTGTTAAAATGAATTGGATATTAGAACATATAAATTTCAACAGGAGGACTATCCAATGGATGATATTCCTAAATATCGAAATAATAGGTATAAAACGATTATCAACAATCGCATGGAGGACAATAAGAATTTCGGATCCAGTGACTCGAGCGAAGATGGCAAGACGCCAACACAATCACCGATTACTAAATTTCAGACTGTTATGATGACGAAAAATGACATAGTTAACCAAAATATAACGCGAAAATTGGACGATAATGAAATGAATTGCTCCAGTTTGGAGACTCTTAAAGATTATGATTTCTATAGCAAGAGTCTGGATGAAACGAAACTGGATAAAACGAACAAAATCGATAATGGGGTAAAAGATTTTAATAAGAGAAGCACTTACTATAGCGATAGTCCCGCCTATAGCTTTAAGAAAAATATAGATCCTCGTAATTCTTATGTAATCAACAATGATACGAATCTATTGGAGCTGAGCATGACAATTTCCGATTGTGATAACATGGATGCACCTTACGGCATTTTGAATACTATTAATATGAGCGATACCAGCATTCTATCTTCCTCCAGTTCAGAGGCCATAGTACAACGTAGGCAACGTAAAAAGAAGCGGGGCGAAAGCAAGAAACGAGTCAGTTTTCACGAAGATATACTGAAAACGATGAAATTGGAAGATGACGAGATTTATGCTGATTTTTCCATGAGTTTCTTGGTACCTAGTTCTGTTTTAAAGAGGGATGCTCAGAAAGGCAGGTACAGTTGGTGTGCACACGGAGACTCGCCGTATGTGCAGAAGAATGTGAATGTCGGCAGGAACGTTCACTCGGACTGTTATTCATTCTCGTCATCGTCGAGTGCGTTTGATGGTGACGAAAGTGATAAGTCATCGAAGATGTGTATTGATATGCCATGTCAGCGCAATTGCAGGTGCAATTGCGATTTATCATTGTCAGAGCGTGGGGCACCAGAAGGTCAAGAGGATCCGGGTAAGAATTTGAGGCCTAAAATGGAAATAGAATTGGAAGAAAATGAGGCTCAAGAAGCCTATATCGTTGAAAAGGCGTGCGGTAATATAGTCGAAGATCCACCGTCCAAGGTAGAGATGCCGCAATCAATGAATCTGAAGAAGTATCCTAATTCGAACGATTGGTCGGATGCAGATAGCGTAACAACATCTGAATTAGAAGAACGTAAAAGTAGTCGACACTTAGTCTCACCGTCGAAGAAGCGCAATATGACAGCGATACTGACAGGTGAGAGTAGTAATAAGCTCTTGGCGCCGCCTTTACGCCAGGCACCATCAAAGACATCATTGCTGAGTAGATTTCTAAAATCGATTACCGAGAGGAAATTCGAAATCAAGAAGAACAAAAAACCACCGAAAGCGAATACCTTGTACATCAAAGGAATCAAGATGAGCTATGATTCTTTCAAAGATTTTAATGACAATCTCGACAAGGAGATTCAAGAGAATGTGGCTGCTGAGAAACAAGAGTTCAGCGGCGAGAAAGTAAGTCTAAAACTGCGTGAACTTTTCAAGAGGCATATCTACCGTGACAAAACGGAGGAGCTATATAAAGTATACAAAGTGCGAAGTTCATACATGACAAACGGTGAGAGTAAACCGATGATCGCGCTACTGACGGACAAGACGCTGTATTTAACTGGCTCGAAGATGGACCATTCTTATAGTAATCAGTTCGTTATTCCTTATAATGAACTAGATGTTATTATGGTAAAAAAGATTTAATTATATTTATTTTTTTTCTTGACTTATACTGTGCATATACTTTGCTAATTTATTTTTTGTATATGCAGATTGGTCCAAATGCACAAAGTATTTTAATTTCCAACGCCGACTGTGAAATGCAATATCTATTCTCTACTGGCAGCTCGCAAACTACCTCAGAATTAATTGGCCATTTAGAAATGGCCATGAGACGATCACCAACGAAACCGAGGCTTCCTGCTGTTAAAGAATTGAATTATGAAGATATGCATATTCTAAGAAATTCAATTCTTACTGATACAGCTGTGCATCCCGTACGTAAATCATTTTTAAAAATTGTGGGATAATAATAATTACTATATATACTATAATTACTATATATACTATATATGTTTGTATATTGTTATCTGTATATCTATATATTATTCATTTTTCCATTGCCTTTGTAGGATGAGAAAATTGAACATTACAGCCTTATTTATATGGAAGATGAACATATGTCGCCACCTAGTACACCCTGTGGGCCAATGAAAGAGGGTGATCTAATGTTCCGACCGCATACGTATCAACATTTGCATCCAAACGCGCCCACGAATCCTTGGGAGGCTGGCTATTTCGTTCTGAAAGGCGGAGTAGTTTATATGTTTACGGATTCGAATCAGCGACTTCCCAAGCGCGCTATACCATTGAAAGGTGGTTTATGCCAAGGATGTAGAAGGATTCCCAATTCTCATCGGCCACACACCTTCGAGATACTACTGAAACCCAACAAATCGTATCAATTCGCTGCTCCGGATGAATATGTAGCTTCTGAATGGCTACAAAGTTTTGTTCAAAGCGCATCAGGCTTATTCGATAGTGCGGAAAAGACAGAGCCATTACCTTGCAGCCTTGTTACGACTACAAAACACTTAGTGGCGATGAAAGAAGTTCATCCCGGCACGCAGAGAGGTCAAACGCTCTCTTGCGCTTCCATCAAAGACCTTGCAGCGTTCAGAGTACCATTGGTGCAGCAATCGTGGTGTATACTGGTAAACATATATTTGGTGTAAATCATCAACTGTATATAATGTATAAAATATATAGAACTTTATGTTCCGTTACTAAATAGAGTTTACAATTGAAGTTTATTATTGTACCTTTACAGGAATTCGCGTGTCGAGAAGTGCACGAAAGTAGCGGCGATTGGGTCATATATTTTACGAATCATACCGAGCTCTGTGCTTTTAAAGAGATTTTAGAAACGTTATGGACGAATGCAAACCTGGTAGGACATATTTTGCAATTGTCATTACATAGTAAATATTAATGTAATCTCTTGATTATTATAGGGCGAGTTTCCTATGGCAACGCTTTCACCAGAGGATAAATTGCAACGACGTTGCTCAGATGCCAGCAGGGATCTGGAACACGCTTGGCGATATTTGCTACCACCAGCTTTAGAGTAAATGAAAAATGTACTAGTACTAGACAATATATACACCGTCATTTGAAAAATTATTTTATCATATTGCCATAAAAAAAAACATAAAACAGAACTCTCGTAATAACACACCCGAATATCCAGGTAACTACGTCTGAAAATTTGAACATTAATACATCATACGCCAAAGATAAATTATGCAATATAATACAAATTTTTTTGCTTCTGTTGCAAATTAAAAATGTGCCATACATCTGTCAGTTGGAACTAGAATAATTCTTATTTTATGGCTTATATATTATAAGTAGAAACATGAATGTTATTTGGACATATGACATTTGATTTATGGTATGATATGATAAATTTCTAATTTCAAGATGCAAATATATGTGCAATATTCTCGCTGTATTGTGGTTAATGAAAGATAAAACATTATCTTGCATATAAGATATAAGTTGCCTCAAACATATAGATAACTGTATTTAGAAAAATCGTAAAATGGTGCATTACCTTTCTTGTAGCATAAGCCATCATAATAAGCTACTATTTATGATGACGCAGAGAATGTAATATAACAATAACTCTTGAGACATTATTGATTACTATATAAATGTCTATATATTCACATATATTGAAGAGACGAACCAGTATGCATTTTAATACGCACTATATATTGATATTAAAATAGATATTTATCCGAGTTTAATAAAATTCAAGATCACATAAAGCAGCTTTGACAAAAAATAATACTTTATAAAAATCGCTTTTGAAATTAGATTATATCATTTAGCATTCCTATTACTATTTATAATTATAAATCGCTTTTACTTTTTTACTGTCAAGACTTTTTACATATCACATATATTTGTGATATGTCCCAAAATTTTACTCCATATTAATTTTTTAAGTGTACAAATGAATTGTAAGCATAATAATTGTATTATACATACTAGTTATTAATTTAATAAATATAATTTTAAATTTAATTCATTAAATATAGATCTACAAATATAGCTTGTATTAATTTTTGTTGCGTTATACATAATATTAATTTTTCTAAATGTTTGTCATTTTACGAAATGATTCAAGTTAAAGTTACAAATGTTATACCAAAATAATTACATACAATTTATGTTGTGTAAAACTTGGAAAATTAATATGTTTTAAATATGCTTATAATATGTGTAAAATTAAGATAGCTATGAAAATCTGTACATGAAAATGAGTTTTCTTTGTGATGTAATAATACAACACATATACTTATGTTAATATCTTTGGGATAAGATATTTGTTATGATTTTTTTTTAAGTTATAATCTTGTGTTACCAAAGCTACATGAACAAATGCATTCTGAATATTCTTGTGAATAAATACTTAAGTTTTGCATTACTTCATGTAGCTCCGTACGTGATTGTGATATGCTGTTTAGTAATAAGTGTCAGCTGTTGTTAAGTTCATGAGATTTCTGTGAGATTTATGTAAATTAAAAAAGTAATGCGCGGAAAAGAAATCGGTTTTGTATGTTAGTGCTGTGTGAAAAGTATGCGGAATTAAATTTTTTACAAGTTACAGCCAGCATGTTTTAAATGTTACATCCGTATACTTTTCACATACAAAAGTCTTGTATCACCATACACAACCTGCAAACTATGATGAATAGAGAATTAATAAAAGTGTACAAGAGAATTTAATTGGATGAATAATTTATTTCATTCATTTCTTATATTACTTTGAGAAGTTTTTAAAAAACATTCTATTGAAATTCATAATTCTATAAGTTTCACTAGCAACAACAGCAAATACTTCTCTAATCCTTCATTTTACTTTATACTATATTTTTTATATTGTATTTCATTTCATATATAATTTAAAAGGCTTGAAAATCTTAAATAATATGGAATCTTTATTCTAATTATATAGTTCTAATCATCATATAAAGTAATATTATTTTTCATATTTATATATAGTCTGCGTTCTGATATTCACTGTCAATAGTGAAAATATGTAGTTCATGTCACATATATTATAGGTTTTCAGTATTAGCAGTGAATATTGGAATGCAACCATAATCTAATACAAACTGATCACTTTTATGTAATTAAATAATATACATAATTAATTTGAAATATAATTTAATTAAATTATAAATCTTAGATCTCTAAAATAAAGAGATAATTTAAGAAAAAACACTATATATGTAAATTTATCTATTAGCAATTGAGTATCTTACATTTACAAATACAACAGATATTCGATAATTTGCTATTAACAGAAATTGCACCTTATTCAGGTACAGTATGACCTCTTGCTCTTTTGGAGGTTCTTACTTTATCTATATCAACATTTGGAAACTCCTCTTTCACAGCTTCGAGATCCATATTTGGGAATTTTCTCATTAACATTGCAACACGATTTCTCTCACGTCTGGAACAAATAAAGATAATTTTTTCCTTCCTTTTCTTTAATAGAAATAAAATAAATTGAGAGATATACTGCATGTATATGCAATAAGCAAATGAATGTTACGAACGTTCTTGCTTTGCGTTTTTTATTCCAAAGTTGCTCCCTGTACAAGCGTAGAAACTTCCGAGTTGCATATCCGCCATAACCAAACAAGTGTGTCTTATGCCATCGTGTGTTCACAAATTTTGGAATACTATGTTGACGCATTCGATAATAAAACCTTAAACCTATAAAGAGATAAAAAAATTAATATTACTTTTTATATTTAGATTTCTTTTACAATTTTCCATACTTTTTTATATAATTCTAAATATATAAAAAATATACATATATAGTAATCTATCCTATACCTAAACAATTATAGGTCAATTTTCCAGGACGTTCTCCTGTCTCACCAGTTTCGAGCAAATGATATGCTCTATTTCTTTCACGAACAACTGATTCCAAGTTATTCATGCTATCTTGAACCTTGTCTAAACGTTCGGGATTTGGGAAAATTTGATTTGCAACCTTACATGCTTCTTCCATGGTCATAAGCATGTTACGTTCTTTCAATAATACAAACCTATATTCATTCAAAAATATATCAATCTATAAAATGCCTAAGGGAAATCAATAAGTAAAAATAACTTAGGATAGGCAAATTTTACCATAATTTGTGGAGATCCGAATTGCTTTTTAATCTCAATTCATCTTTCTTCCAGGATCGACCAACTCGCACCTCATTTTTTCCCCAATTCTTTGGGTCGTCAAAGAACTCCATCAAATCACGGCGTTCCGATGTGAGATGTACAAATGCACAGTGTAAAGCTGGTGTTCTGAATTTACAAAAAAAGATACATTTAAAAAATTATCAATATTTACCTGTTATTTAAAGCAACATTTAGTACTAAACGCGTCCGTTTGTTTTAATTCTTTTGTCCCATATTAAAATCCTATTCACAGTCGGCAAGTGCCGTGTTCAGCACTAACGTGCCGAAGAATGAGATGATAACGTATGATCAATTCTTGTGCGTGTCAAACGACAAAGATTACAAACAACGCGAAAAAGGAATAAATACTTCTATGAAAATATCTTTATGATTTTTCTGAGTTAATAGGAAATTACATTGCAGATCAGGAATACCGGCGGACTGAACGAAGTAACATAGAGTATAACTCGAGAAGGCTAAGATACGAACCTACGAAGAAATGCATGTTTGGGAGGAGCGATAACACTTGGTGTCAAAGATAGATTCGTAAAAAGTTTTGTTATGCCGTTCATACTTTTAGTGGCTTGCACGGCCTTTATAAGCGCCGCCATTTTTTCTACTGCTCTCTATTGCTCCCCCACGTTTAATTTCCGCATCAGCGAGGAAAAACCTTTGCTGAGAGTGGTCATGCCATAGAAAAATCTAAGAGCTGTCACTCATATTTTAGCTAGTACCAGCCCACCAGTGCCTCTATGTGCAGAAAACATATTCTTTGAAGCTATGTCCACGGAGACAAAGGCTGCGTTCCGATATTCACTCTAAGTACTGAAAATCTATAATATACGTGATCTGAACTATATATTTTCAGTACTGGCAGTGAATATCGGAACGCAGCCAAAGCAACCGTGGATAAATTTTCGTGACCACTAACTGGTTCATTTTCTTATGCGTTATGCATTAGTGTCGGTCCACAATAGGTGACTTAAGCTTTAAGACGTAAAAAATTGACCAATTATAATCTAATATGAAAAGAATACTCGACTATGATTGGTCAATTTCTTACGGCTTAAAGATTAAATACTTATTGTGGACCGACACTTATGCAGAAGTGTGTTCGGCCCTAACTTTCGTAAGTGTCGGTCCACAATAAGTATTTAATCTTTAAAGCTTAAATCATCTATTGTGGACCGACACTAAGATTGTCGGTCTTTAATAGTATCTCGTTGATGATAATATCAACGTTCTTCAATTATTCCCTTTTGGTGATCTCGAAAATTTACTACGGTTGTCGGTTTTTAATAAGTATTTCGTCGGTACCTAATAAAATAAGCTAACCTAATCTGACTTCGAACGATACTTGATGCGTGTCATGTGGCGCGTGGTTTCAGCGAACATACATATTCACGCTTATCGAATACATAAATCAATCGTAAGATTAGCGGACGTTCGGTACGGTGTTTTGCCGATTTTTCTGATTTTTTAGAAGGGAGCCTAAATTGTCGTCGATTAGTGACGATGTTGCAAAGTGTCTTGAAATCGAAGTTCGGCTATGAGGATTTTAAAAACGACATTCAGAAACAGGCCACTACTACTATTCACAAAAGTATTTTTTTCTTTTCTCCGATATATACTAATCATTATACTAATCTGTCCGTTGGATTATTGTTATTTTTGTTTATAATATCTTTCAGACAGCTGTTATTATTATTTTTTCTTTTTTCATCAGCGGATATTTTGGAAAGTAAATTTATGAAATGTTAACGATTTTAGGAAAGCAAGATGTATTTGTATGCATGCCGACGGGTTCCGGGAAATCTCTCTGTTTTCAATTACCAGCAATAATGATGGAAAAGAAAGTCGCAATTGTCTTTTCACCCCTCTTGGCCCTGATGAAGGTATTTTTTCTATCATCTGTTTTCTATTTGTCTTCTATTTATCCTCTAAACATACATCTTTTTGTAATATGATTCTGAAAGTTAGTTTTTTAGAAAAACTAGAAAAACAGTAGAGAATGTGTTAGGTACAATAGTTTTTTTCATTTAGCATATTTAATATTTTGTTAACATATTTTGTTACAAAAATAAAATCCATTGAAGATTTTTTTTCTTCAAACTAGACGAAACAGCAAAATTGCCATTTCTATACTATTATTTAATTCTAAACAAAGGGATCATTAAAATTCAAATTAGCTACAGATTATTTCTATCAAAGGAAATTTGTTCAGAACCTGGGAAAATAGCAATTATGATTGATAAAAAAGAAAGATTTTAAAATAAGATTCTTAATCAATATCTAATATACTTAATCACTGAGTAATATATTTAATTAGTGTCTAATAATCATGCCTGTTGAGTCCTGAATATTGATTTAATTTTTACAGAATCAAATAGACTTCTTGTTGAGCAAGAAAATAAATGCCTGTTCTTTGAATTCGACCACTTCCAGCAAAGAGAGGAGTATTATTATGAAGGATTTACTATCAGATGCACCTAAGATAAAATTATTATATGTCACTCCTGAAATGGGAGCGCAACAACATTTTCAGGTATTTTCTAATCTATTCTTTCGTAAATTAATAATTTTCTATTCTTTCGTAAGTTTAGGAGAACTTGTGTGTATTTATTTTTATTTTTCATGTCTTTAGGCTTATTCTTTATACAGCTGTATTGAATTGCACTAAAACTATTTGCTTTCATCAAGCTTTAAATATGTTTATTTTATTTTAAATAATTAGTTCAGCTATAAGGAACAGTCATTTCGTTATCTCTAGCGGTTAAAACATAATATTAAGATATTTTGAAGGCTATTTGGAAAATAATTATTTCAAGATATTGATCTAAAATGTTTAATTTTTAATTTTATTGTGATATATGTGTGTATATATATGTATATATATGTGATATATGTGTGTATATATATATGTATATGTATATGTATATAATTTAATGTTTAGGAAACAATAACTCAAATGCAGAAGAAAAAAACACTCTCTTATTTCGTTATTGACGAAGCTCATTGTTTGAGCGAGTGGGGTCATGATTTTAGGCCAACTTATAGACAATTGGGAATATTCAAAAAATTATGTCCCAAAATACCTATGATTGCATTAACGGCGACTGCTGCGAAACAGGCATCTAAAAAATATTAATATTTAAAATTTTAAGGATTATTATATTATAATAACATGTTGAATATTGTATGGCAGGTAAAGAATGATATTCTTCAAAGCTTGTACATTAAAGATGCAAAAATATTTTCTCAGCCAGTATTTCGTTCTAACTTATATTACGACGTATGGTTTCAAGATGTATTAGATAAACCATTTATGCATCTAAAAAATTTTATTTTGGATGCACTTGGTCCCACAGATAATTCTATTCCTATGGTGAGATCTAGATCATGTAATATTCTGTGAACTGTTTGAAATAATATTGTGGATTTTTTTATAATATTTTTTTAGCACAAAAGAAATTGTGGTATCATTTATTGTAGAAAAAAGGAAGCAACTGAAGTTGTTGCACATAAATTGACTCTTGCTGGTATTACCACACTTGCGTATCACGGAAGTACGAAATTTTTTATAGTATACTGATTTATCAACTTGCAAAAGAAATGATGAAGATATTTTAACATTTAAATAGGCTTGAAAACTCAGGAACGTAACGAAGTACAAAATAAGTGGACGTCAGGTGAAGTACCAGTCATCGCGGCAACATGTAGTTTCGGGATGGGCGTTGACAAGGGATCTGTTAGGTAGTTTTGTCATTTTCGGAAAGCAATATTATATCAAGGAAAATAAAACTATGTTTGTTATATGAATATTATATGAATATGCATAGATTTGTGGTTCATTGGACAATACCTCAGAATATTGCAGCATATTATCAAGAATCAGGAAGAGCTGGCAGAGATGGCAATCCAGCGTTCTGCAGGATTTACTTCAGTAATGAAGAATATGGACCTATTTCATTTCTTATCAAAGAGGAGATCGCCCATAAGAATTCGGAACTTGTGAAAAATAAGTGGCAAAATTTTGAGAAAAGCGTCGCATATTGCTTGGAAGCGAAGTATGATTTTTATTTTTACAAAAAATTAAATTATAATAATTAAGAATAGAAAAATGCATTTATCCAGAGATTTTGATTATGTTTCATTATTTTGATTATTTCGTGTTTTTGAATTATAAAAAATAATTATATTAAAGTTAAATTATAGAATTTCGTATTTTGAATGCCTCAGAAGTTGCCTGATATTTTAATTGTATTGATAATAATATAACTTATATTTATTCATTGCTGTGTATAGATGTCGACATGGAGTATTCTCTAAATATTTCGGAGATTCTCCACCGCCTTGCAAGAATAGATGCGATATTTGTAAAACTAAAGATGAGGTACTAGCAAGAATTGCTCAATTCGAAATGTGTCAGATTAAATCTAAAAGATCCCGGAGTAATATGGGTAGTGTAATGCAAATGAATCAGAGTGATGATGAAATGTATGTATGTGAAAAATTAGTTGAACAATTTATTTACAACGGATATATTTTTATTGTGTTTATAATTTAATATTAATAATAGGGATTTTGATGAACCACAAGAATCAAGGGAGAAATTAATAGCAGCTGAAAAACGAGAAAGAAAAGAACTTATTATGGAACAGTTTGCACTTCGACGTGGTACATCTAAAGAAGATGAAGTAAGTTTGTGAAAAAATTTTTTTCATGCTTTGTCATTTTTACTTTTTATTCGTTTTATATAGGTGAGACGGCAAAATATTAAGGACGCGAAAGTAGCGCATGTTCGTGCAGCCAGTAGTACAGATAAGAAGATAAAAGGTTTAACTGTTCAAGTAAGATACCATCTCTATATGAAATATTATTAATATTTTTATATTCTTATTTTTCCTCATTATTTTAAGACGCGAGAATATTTTTACAATGAATTAAAAATGGCATTATTTGAAAATTATCAACATTTACATGCGGAAATTAATAAACTTCAGGAGAAAACTATACAAGATATAGCTAATAATATAGAATACAAAATATTTTCCAATACCAAAGTACCAAATAAATACAAATTTGACATGTCTAAATTGGTATGTGATATTTTTCATAAATATCTCCTATATTATCTTTTATAAAATTTTATGTATGTGGATAATATAAAAAACTTAAATACTTACATAAATATGTAAATTATCTTAGAATTCAGTTTTCTTGTGTGTAGAATTGAATTGTGTCATATAAAATCATATTCTTTTAAATATAAATATTTTTTTGTTTCGTTTTCTTAACTCATATAGATTTCATCGGTACGAAAATGTACTGATAATAATACCATGTATGAAGCAATACGTGATTATAATGAAACTGAATCCCATAATATTGAATTTAATAATTCTAACAGTATGGATATATCTAGTAATGAACAAATAACAGATTTTACGGAAATAGCAGAATTTACGGAAGATGCTCATCAGTTGAATAAATATAATAAAAAAACTTTTCCTACCACTTTTAAAACTGCATTAGAGATTATAAATGAGGAAAGGTTACGAGAATCTACATCAAATATAAATAAAAAGACTCAATCTAAAGAATCATCTCTTAATAACAGTATACGAAAAAATACAGAAGAAAATGATAAATTACAGACGCAATTTTCAAGTGGTTTTGTTTGTGCGCGAAAAATTTATGAACACAATATGTTGAAATCTAATACAAGTTCCTCTAAATCAAAAACTCGCAAAAGCAAAACAGATAAGAATGTGAAAAAAACAGGTAAAACCGTTTATGAGCAAATTTTAACATCAGCACAGTCATCGAAAAAGGCTATTGATGAAGTGCCAGATGTTACTTCTAAAACAGAATTGAAAATAGACAATACCGTTGAGCATGTTAAAAGTAAAAATGAAATTAAAAGTGAAAGTAAAAAGAGAGACTACAAGATTATTGAATGTCATGAAGATAGCATAGAACCTGTTATAAAGAAAAGAATTATAAATAATGAACGTAGCGATACAATTAACATTAATATATCCGATAAAAATATTGACAAAAAGATTTTAGATAGTAAAATTGATAAAACAACAACTAGAAAAAAAAGCACAGATACCACTAATATTAATGTGATAAATGATGATTCATCAATAATGGAAGATAAAATGAAAAGACACTTGGAAACAAAAGCTAATGTAGAATTAAAGAAAAAAAAGAAATTGCATATTTATCTCATTTAAAACATGAAAATAGCAAAAGTAATGGTAATAAAATTAAAGTACCAGCGGACAAAGCTACGCAGTTCAAAACAGCGGAAATTTTGAAGTCATATCTAATGAAATATTATCCATCGGAACGTCTTCCGGATAGAGCAACATTTTCAAAAACTTGCAGGGAAATGCATTATAATATGCTGAAGAAGAAAATATTTGGTATGGCAAATTAAAAAAATTTTGCTTTATTATTGTATTTATTATTGTATTTATTATACCAATTATCTAATTTTTAGTCTTTTTGTTGCAATTGATAAATAATATTTTATTTCAGATAAAGAAGGAATACGTAACTTTGTTGTAAACTTTATGAGACGATCTTAAAGGAGTATTTATTTCACATTTAATGTGTTTCTACTTTCTGTTGATCAAAACGAAAAATAATGCTGTTTATAATCAATGTGTTTAATTATGAATAAATTTCTGTATATGTATCTATAATTCTTAAATTATATTTATTAAATGTATCTTTACTATCTAGCTAAAATTGTACCTGCC